AAATTTCTAAAAATAATTCTTGAGAGAGGAAACGGAAGTACTTGACACGGAAGTGTTCATAAATGAACAGTTTACGTGCAGGCGCCGTGGTTTCGCATGAGACATGCTAATTAAAGTTTCTATGAGCCAAAAACCGACGAAGTGTTCACTCCTACGTAGTGTTCGGGGACCGTAAGGTGCTCTATTTAGAAATGGACATGCGTTCAGCAGATACCGGTAGTTTTGTATTAAACATCCAAACAATTAAATTTCAATTAATATTATAATACTTTTAATACGAAGCAATAAACAGACAACCGTTTCGTGGCTTTAACCGTGTGTGGCACTTCACTCTAGAGAAGAAAAAAACAACCAAAAGCATGATACAAAAAGTTTCGCAAATTCCGCAGGTATGCCTCGCATTTTACCTCCTCGCCATTCCGCGTTTCGCTTTTTACCAAGAACCTGACATGATACAGATAGCCCATCACTATTAAATTACAATAGATCTCTAGATCTAGTTCTAGCAAAGTGTTTTAAGGAAGACAGTTTATTTTAAATTTTAGGATAAAGTGCATCTTTTAACTTCAAATCAGTTTATAATTAGCAGTCCATAGATCTAGATCTAATTACATAATACTATAAATATTAAAACTTAAAAATTTATTATAAATGTTTTTACCGCCATTATTAGACAGCCAGGTTTTTAAAAGTACGAAGTTGCCATGTAGGCATTTAGATATAGTCAAGGCCTACAAGATCTCGACTATATTCTACCAAATGTAAAAATATGGTACAACAAGAAAATTCAAAGAATTAAATAAAACTTTATGTGATTAACATAAAGGATAGGTGCCATCCCAATTTATCTTAGAAAATGTATTTTGATACATATCCTTATAATTCGAAAACATAATTTTAAACTGTTCAGTAAATGTGTCTTAGGCCTTAAGGTTTTTTTAACTATCTAGATCAGTGGTTCTTAACCTGGGATCAATCGAACCCCGGGGTTGGGTAAGTCAGTCTCAGGGGTTCGATGGTGAACAAGACACCCTCGACTTATGAAATTCATGATCGGATTTTTTCAGTGCGCACGCTAAACCTATTAAGAAGGGTTCGGCAAATGCGCATATGAAACTGTGTGGGGGGGGGGGGGGGGGGGGTCGGTTCCCCAAATGGTTAGGAACCGCTTATCTCGATATATGCTAGTCTAGATTCTAGTTCAAAATAGACGTAGGAAAATAGTTTAATTATTGCCAGTAATTATCATCCACAGATTAGTGCACAAACTAGGTAGTCCTACATATTATGGGCTGTGGGTACCAATGTGCAATTCGTATCACAATCATCTCACAATATTATTGTGGGAATACTATAAGCTAATGATGAAATCCATGTAGGCCTATTGAATAAAAGATAATGAGATCGAATGTTAACAAAGCGGGAGGGGGGAGGGGGAGCTGTCCCGTGGAAACAAGTTATAGAACTATGCTGTTTGTAACAAAACTACTTGCTTTTCGAGAAAACAAAACTCATAAAGGTGAAAAGTTCTCAGTATAATATACTTTGAGAAAATATGGTATTATTTTTTTTCAAATTCTTAAGGCTTTTATTTGAGACATCGGAAATCGAGTAAAGAACCTCTTTCGTTTACTGGGGATCGCTCAGAGAGGCAAACAGACAAGATTGCAAAACTTAAGTTTTCTGACAGAGTAATTAAGGTGTAAACAGTCAAGTTATTAGTTATTTCATAATAACGATTTCGATTTTTGCACGAATACAATACTTCGCGGAAGTAAAAGGTATAATTTCTCTCTATATAAAGCAAATGTGTGTTTTTGTCTTTATGAATTACTACACCTTTCATCCGTCTCCATTCAACTTTGGGAAGTTGTTGAGAATAGTCCTGGGGAGGTACCTGCGAAAAAAAAAATTCAAATTCGCTGGGGTGGCGCACCGGCAGGGCGCGATTCGATTCTTCACTATATACGGTAAATAAAAATAAAAGTTGATTGTGTTTCGACACCGTTCATCCTATCGCCATGACACTTTGGGGAGTTAATTAGAAGACTCCGGGGTAGGTTTCTGCAAAAAAATCTTTTTTTTTTTTCAATTTCGCAAGGGCGAACTTGGGATCCGTTAATTGGGCGGGTGAGGTACTAAGGAGTACTACTAGATCTATATTCAGCGGTAAAACTTCAACAGGCGCAGCCGCCGGCGCCCGGCTATAGCGTGACGCTATGGCGCCTACGTTCGTTTAAAAAGGGCTATACACTAAAGACAGTGGTGTGTCTTGAGCTAAGTGTCTCATGGCGGCGCCTATTCTTCTCCACATCTAACCACAGCTGGATGCCTTCATGGGCGGTTCGTCGTACTCTCGAACAATTTGGTCGTTGAAGTTAATCTGAGAAGTCTTACGCTTGGAGATGGAAGGAGATCAGTGAGGCTGTTCGTATAAGAATGCAGCTATAATACAACTCATGTTGTATTTTCCTTGGTTTCGGGCTCGGGAAAATTGCGCCTTCCCTCCCGCGCTCTGGATAACCCTTCAAACTGAATTGTATTTAGGCCTATTTCTCTGGATCCAATGAATGCAGAAAATATATATAGCAGTCAAGCAAAAGTCTTTGATTTATAATGAATAAACTGAGAGAAACATACGTTTTTAACTTCTAGGTATAAGCAGTGGCATAGTTAAGTCGGGTGTGTGTCCCCCCCCCTCATAAATATTACAATAAAATCAATGCGTAAAAACCTATAAATTAATTTTAGTGGTAAGCATTTATTCCAAAAATATCTTAGAGACTTCTCTGTTAATGATTTTAAAAACAAACAACCTGGAAGCAGATTAAAGAAGGGGATCGGGAAAAGTGGGGAGGGGGGGGGGGGTAAATGTTTATTTTAAGGGCGTCATTAATAAATATCCTTCCTCTAGATTCACATAAATCTTGTGCTAAGTATTTTTAGAATTATGTTAACAAATTGCAAAAAAAGTACGATTAAACCTAACAACAATCACTGCTTCTTAGAAATACGAACACACCATTCTAAACTGAAAACTCTTAGTTACTCTGAACTCATCCTTTATTGGCTAGGGGTCGTCCATAAATGACGTCACACTCCTAAGGGGGGGGGGGGTCCGTAATTTTGTGACGGTGTGTGATAAGGGGGAGGGGTGGGGGGTTCAGATGGTGTGACGTCACACTTTTGCATTTTAAAACAGCAATGTTAGAAAACGAGTTTTATCAGTTATTTCGCGTTTTCGAAAACTGTTTTAATAAATTGTAATAGGAATTGATCAAAATACTCTATGTTGACGGAGTTTTGGCAAGATATTCGTAAAATATCGACGTTTTAAGCAAAATTCAACAGCAATTTTAAGTGGGGTTGTAGGCTGAGGGATGACATCATTTTTTGGGGGGGGGGGGGGTCTGGCTTTTTGTGACGACGTGTGGCGGAGGGGGGGGGGGGTAAAAATCGTCAAAAAAGCATGACGTCATTTATGGATGACCCCTAAAGCTGGGTACAAGTATGTTCTGCGTACAAATCGTATAATTTCTTAACATTTTAGCAGCGGATTAAATTAAGGTATGTGTTAACAGGGGTCGTTCATAAATGACGTCACACCCGTAGGGGGGAGGGGGGTTGGTAATTTTTTGACGATGTGTGATGAGGGGGAGTGGGGGGAGGGGGTTCAGATGGTGCGACGTTACACTTTTGCTTTATAGATAAGAAATGTTAGAAAACAAAATTTAGACGTTATTTAGCGTTTTAGAAAACAGTTTAATAAATTATAATAGGAATTGATTAAAATACTCTATTTTGACATATTTCAGACAAGACTTTGGAAAAATATCGATGTTTAAAAAAAAATTCAACTGCAATTTTGAGGGGGTTGTAGGCTCAGGTGTGACGTCATTTTTTTTGGGGGGGGGGGGGTCTGGCTTTTTGTGACGACGTGTGACGGAGGGGAGGGGGAGGTAAAAATCGTCATTTATGGTTGACCCCACACATCTCAGATTTGTACAAAAAGTGGTTTATTTTCCGTTAATAGATTTTTTTTACATCAATGCTGTAAAAATTCTACCTATTTACTGACCTTAGTCAAATTTATTTTGCAGTTCCAGAATTGATTTATAAGCAGCTTGGGTCTATATTATTCTGTAAAGTAATACAGAAATCTATTTTCTTAACTATGACTGTGTATAATTCTATATAATACATCTCAAAAGGATGTGCTTTTTAATACATTTTTTCTACGCCTTTTGGAGCCACTACGGTTGGAGTCCGGGGTGAACTCCACGCGTAGATACGACTTGATTGCGAACTGCATTTTTGTTTTGTTTTTGTGCGTTTAAGTATGTTTTTTTTTTTCTACTGCGAGCAGTTTTTCTTCCAGACATCTCTGTGGAGCAACCTCTCCTCTTCCTGATTTTACCATCAGTAGAAAGTTGCCGGTTAATCTCCGAATGTTCGCTGATGGTAAAGGGCAAGCGGATCCTCATTAATAACCTAAGGCAGCTGTTTAGCTATGTCCGAGCGTTATCAGTGGTGGTCTTTGTCGTCTTCCAGACAGCAGCAACAATCTCACGTTGGGTTTTAACAAGCGCACCTTGGTGTTCAAGGACAGCAAGCTGGAAGCCCCTTTGCCCTTTTGCTGTACGATTGATGTAGGCATACATAATCTGGGTAAAGCAAACTTTAATTTTATTATAATTTGATGCCCCCCCCCCCCCTTGTATGGTGTCACCCGGTGTGGTCCGCTACTGATTCAACCATTCCGAGGCTAGGCCTAATAGTTTGCGATCCCAAAGGTAGTATTCTCCTTGGCTGCCACTGTTTTCTATATTACAGTGGTCGTAATATCGACATAGAAAAAATAATCTATCCGTCCCATATTCTTAAATTCACATTATATTCTATGCCAAAGTGAGATTTTAGGGTGCCCATTTCCCATTAAATATAAAATACTTCTGCCAATATGGCAACTCTTAATCTTTGACACACGTAGGCCTAAGCTTGCTATTTCTACAAAAAATGTACATTGGGCTAGATCTAGATATATTTGTGAAAGTAACCCACTGATAAAAATCATGGCGACGTCCCTGGTCAAAGTTAATTTAATTAAGTTGGCAAAGGTAACAAAACCAACCAATGTCAACGAAGAAATAGATAATTAGATTATATTTAACTCAGTGAGAGTGTAAAGTCTGAAATAATTATAAACAGTGAGAGTAGGCCTACATCATAACATTAGTAGATCTACATACATTGAAGTAGCTGCTGTATAGTAAAAAATGGTAATCTATCGTTTTGGGTACGTAAAATCGCCCGCGGCTATTTATATACGAAAACGTTACCTCATTGTCAAGGCTTTAATAGAAGTATATTGTCATACTTTTGTGTCAAATATTATAGATAAATGAATAATAAACCGGTAATCTATTGTTTTAGGTACGTAAAATCGCCCGTGACTAGTAATGTGAAAAACAGGTGACTCCTTACATTTTAATAATAGAGTCCTTTCATATGACGTCACGTCCGTTCGTGATACCTACGCCCGCCGCCACAGTGGTGTACACAAGACGTAAACACAATCAGCTGTTCGCCAGCGCTGGACGTGTTCACCAGCGCTGGACGCGTTCACTGTATGTAAAGAACCGCACCCGCGGAAAAGGAAAAATACGTTTAAAAACTTGAACTCTTAGGAATTGAAGATCCTTATACTGTTATTGACAGTTTCGTATAAATAAATATGTGGACAAAATTTCTAAATAAAAATACTGTTAGTAATACTGTTTGCGTTTAGAGTTAAAGTAGCCGAATCTGATCAAATGCAGTTCTCGATACTTTGTTTCATGTAAGGACAGTAAAATAATAAACTTCATTTTAATTATAAAAGATAACTATTAATAAAACAAATATGCTCGACCTTCACAAATACTAATAGTAAAAGACAAAGTCAAAAGTAATATAGGCTAATAAGAATAATAAGATCTAATAGTAGGCCTAATACCTGGCTCCGCTGGATAGACATAGAATCTAGAATCTACTTCTTTACTTAAATTTAATTACTTTAGATCTACATTCGATTCAAAATACACCCATAATAAATCAAAAGTAGTCATAATAGGCCTAATAAAGCATTTAATTGTCTCTAAGATCTAAAATCTCGCTCTAATTATCTAATCATTTTTTTAGCAAACGAAATTTTCTGAAATTGAAATAGATTATATGACTAGACTTAGATCTAGAATCTGCTACTTAAATTAAATTGTAAAAACTTTATACAAGCATGTAGTTGATATTATTGTAGTAGAAGGCTTTAATAAATTACTAAGGCCTACCTACTTAGTTGTCTTTTTACAGCAATATGTATCTGATACTGGACTGAGTTTAATTAAATTCAAATTCATATCTAGTAATTGGTCTACTAAGTTTTTGTAGCCTAGTAGTACAATCTAGATCATACCAGCCAACAACAAATAACCACATTATTATTATTTGGTTAATGATTAGGCTAATTTTTTTTTAAATCCACTGTTTATAAAAGAAACAAATCAAGCTAGAAACATTATAAGTGAGATGGTTTAGAATAATAACAATGGACCCAGTCTACAATTGATACAATTGCAGGTCTACATAGGGCCTACAGTCTAGTAGTTTACAGTAGGCACCTAGTGTGTAGCTAGTATACTAGTGTGTAGCTGTCCAGAGTTAAGATTCTTAATGCCTTAATGCTTTCCCCTGATAAGCCGTGTGTGCTATAAATGACATAACATGACACCGGGGTGAGAAGTGTTGAGGGGAGAGCAGTGGGACTTTCCCCTTTGTTCTCCCTGCTGGGCCCTGAGGGTCAAAATTATATAAGAAATACTATCTCTGTGGGGCTGGGTATCACGGAGGTGAGACATTTTCAGGGGAGGGCAGGGCAGACTCCTCTTTGGTTTTATTGTGGGCTAGATACAGGTGGGGGCAGCCATCATGAGGGTTGAACGTCAGTATTAATGTGTCTGATTACTTCCCTGCTGGATTATAAGGGTCTTAAATTGTATAACATGCTACCCAGATTGGTTATTACCCATGGATTATATTAGCCGTTGTAGTGTGGGTTTTGTAGGAGTTAAGTGGTCTCACGTTTGCTACAGTAGATAACCTCTAATATATTACTGCATTTGATCAGCTTCGTCTACTTAAACTCTAAACGCAAACGGTATTACTAACAGTATTTTTATTTAGAAATTTCGGCCACATATTTATATTATCCACGAAACTGTCAATAACTGTATAAGGATCTTCAATTCCTAAGAGTTCAAGTTTTTAAACATATTTTTCCTTTTCCGCGGGCGCGATTCTTTACATACGGTGAACACGTCCAGCGCTGGCGAACAGCTGATTGTGTTTACGTCTGATGTACACCACTGTGGCGGCGGGCGTAGGTATCACGTGATTTAGGTCACGTGTTTGCAAGGACTCTATTATTTCACATTTTGAGGAGAATTTATGTTTTGAAAAATACAAAAATGGTTCCTTGTTTCATTTATGTACCTGTTTTTAAACAATTAGGGGCCTATATTAAAACTTTTCAGTAATAAATGAACACTAGCGATGTTTCCAACAGATGCAACCATGCTCATTTACTATAGCAGCCATCTTGTTAAAGTTTTATTTTTATAGACTTACAGCGCAAGATTCAGGGGGAAGTCACTCTATTTTACAAATGGCTGCTGTTTATATAGCAAATCTTGCTTGCAGACACTGCTGTTTAAAGTTAATTTCTGGCCTATATTGATATATTTAGCCATTGATTTAGGTTTATTATTCAGTTATCTATAATATTTGACACAAACATATCACAATATACTTCTATTACAGCCTTGACAATGAGGTAACATTTTCGGACATTAATAGCCGCGGACGATTTTACGTACCCAAAACGATAGATTACCTAGAATTTTATTTAGATTTAGGATAGATCTAGAGATCTAGGTTAGAATCGGTTAGATCTAATCTAGTGATAGATCTAGAATCTAGACTAGATTCTAGCAAGGGCTAGGGTTAAACTCCATTTATTTTAGTTTAGTAGCGTATTTTATTCCCCGCTTCACGTTCATTCACCTCCAGTTGATCGTATACTATACTACTATGCTATACTACTATACTATAGAAATATAGATAGTAGGCCTACTATTAATAGGCCTACTAAATCTATTTAGAGAATCTATTATTTAGATCTAGATCTAGATTTAACTTTTTCTTCTTAAAAAAAATATGTTCGTGTCAGTTAAGATTTTCATGACCATGGGTGAAGTTAGTTAGTAAAGTAGAAACACATAATTGCAAGGCATGATACTATAAATTAACAATTAACTTACATGAACTCACAACGATCGTATGCTATGACCACACAGCTCTTAATTTTCAAATATCACTTTAAATGTATCAAGATTCAGATCTATAATTTACTTAAAATAAGTGTCAACTTATCGTTTATTGTGCTTTTTATAAAGCGCTGAGCAGCTTCAAAATCGGCCATCCTGTTGTCACCAAAGCTTCTTTTGGAGCTTAATGGGTAGCCTAGTTCTATACGATGGGAGCTTAATACATTTTTAAAGGGTCGAAAGTCTCAAGACTGCAAGCTTGCGTACGTTTAAATGGACGAGTGATGGATGGGTGAGGGGCTGTTTAATTGAACACCAACATAAGTGATAAAATTAAACGATGCATAAGTGTCACAACGGAAAAAATCTGTGTATAATAGTGTGGAATATTATTAGTACTTTATAAATTTACATGACTTTTTGAGAAATCAGAAATAGCGTAAATTACTACTTCCGGTCAACGGAAATTACTTAAATTTTGACAGAAGGCAAAGAATTAGATTGTTTACTTACATGTGAAATTTCATTTATCTATCTCAAACAGTACTCACGTTATAGGCTTTTGAAAAATTGAAAGTAGAATAAGTGCCACTTCCGGTTACTGGAAATCGCTGAAAAGTTGATACAGAACTACAAATTTGATATAATATAGATCTATATGAAATTTCATCAACCTAGCTGAAACAGTACTCAAGTTATTGTGTTCACAGACACACATACCCACATACACAAACACAGACATATGGTCAAGATTGCAAAATTATGATGTTTTTCCGACTCAGGGAGGTGTAAACATTTTTTTGTGTGTGTGCACGATTACAATACTTTCTCTTTTCTTCGTATAGGAGAAAGTAAAAAATGCTTAGTAAAATTGTAAAAAGAATGACTAGAACAAATAATCAGCTAAATTTTTTACAGAATTTTTTTTACAATCTATAAAACTACAGGCCACATCATTTTACAGACAAGTGCGATGGTTGAACCTTCATGAATACCAAAGTAAAAAACTGATGGCAGACAATGGTATTGCTGTACAAAAGTTTCAGGTGGCTTCAACAAAAGAAGATGCTGCTAAGGTTGCAACCAAAATGAGTAAGTAATTGTGTGTCTTTTTTATTTTAGAGGTCATCCACAAAATCCATCAAAGAAAAATGAAACTATTTTTTCCTAGGATGAAAAAATATCGTTAAAATAATTGTGGAATTTGATAGTAGACTGGTAACTAGCAAGGTAATGGGGAAGAAGGGAGAAAAAAAAGGAAAGCAAATATGCATGATTGTGAGTGCAATTAATACTAGTGCTTAGTAGGTTAGTCTTGTGTGAGTGAAAGATCTAGCTGCCCTTGTAGATAGATACAAGTCACCATCAAATGTACCACTATCTACAGGTACTCAAGTACTAAAATAGGTGTACATCAAGTTTATTTCTTTCAGACATATCTGCCTTATGTTCAAACATGTAGTTGAAAAAAAACCCTTCTAAGGATTATAGATTTTTAAAGATTTAAACTTTCTTTTATGAATTATTTACAAGTAAATGTATGTCTTGGCAAATTAATGGTCCTCTGCTCTGTTTTTAATCATTTGCATGGGGTATAGACAACTAAAACAAAATAACTTAATTACTTAAATTAATCGCTACAAATTAGAAACTTTCAGTTGGAAAAGAAACAATAGTGTGTTATCTAAGAAACTGTAGTAGATTTAACAATTTTCTTTATGTAAGCTTACATAATGGCTTTTACTGTGAACTTAATCTTAACAGTATCATAAACTGTAAGCCATATTTTATAACTCTCTATTCTATTATTGGTTTGTATTTTTTAATACCTAGATGTTAAAGAATATGTAGTTAAAGCACAGATATTAGCTGGAGGTAGAGGAAAAGGTACATTTGATTCAGGCTTTAAAGGAGGTGTGCATCTTACAAAAGAGTAAGTATATATTTATACATCAGTATGTTTTGATTTTGCTAAGTTTCTACTATTCACTTATTTCCCAAAACTATATAATGCATTAAAAATTATCATAATAACAAAACAAAAGCACTATTCAGACAGGTTTAGAACCCAAAACTCACACTTGATAGCCAGAATTATATCAATTCTGCCACACAGCACTTGAAAAACTTGTAAAAAAATAACAATATATTAAATAAAACAAACCTTTTTTTAAAATTATAAATATATACACGTTAAGAAATTGTGAAATATGTATGCCTATAAATAGAAGCTAAATATATACACGTTAAGAAATTGTGAAATAAAAGCTAAATTTAGCCACAGGATGTGAGAAGATATAGGCACTTCCATAAAGTAGTAACTCACACAAATTTTAATTTTTTTAGCAAGAATTCTAATAATAGTAACAATTCTTTTTAGCCCACAGAAAGTTAAAGATTTAGTTGAGAGTATGCTTGGCCACAAATTAATTACCAAACAGACACCAAAAAGTGGAGTTAAAGTAGAAAAGGTTAGTTTTATTACAAATTTTCAGAGTACTAAACTTTCCTTCAGTTATCTATTAAACCCCTGATCCTATGCACACAAAAAAAAGTAAATTAAATTTATAACAAAATAAGAAACTCATGTCAGTAATATCTATATTCAATGACATCATTTCTCCCATACACTGATTATCAGATTATGATTTTTACTTTTGATTTTAAATGATATCCAAATTAAAACCCAACTTATTCTAATAATCTTTAAGGTAATGGTAGCAGAGGCATTAGATATTGCCAGAGAGACTTACTTTGCTATTCTAATGGATCGTGCTTTTGGGGGACCAGTAATGGTTGGAAGTCCCAAAGGAGGAATAGATATAGAGGAGGTGGCTGCGAAGGAACCAAGTGCAATTTTCACTGTATGTAATCACTCAATTATTTTACATAAATGTTCATTTTATCATAAAGATGTAGAAGATAAAATGACATGAAATATTGATTTGAGCAGCACTAATAAGATGTGATTAGAATTTAATGCTGACTAAATATAATCATCAGATGTAGATTACATAGACTATTTACTAGTTAATCATCAGTGAAATATAAATACACTACTGTTTCTGTTTAGTGATATAGTTTTACAGCTTGTTAGATCAATATTAGTTTTAAAAATTACTTTATAACTTTGGAATTTAAAAATTTCTTTCACTTTTACCTGCACTCATTATTTATCAAAATTGAATTAGGAACCAATAGACATAATCGAAGGACTTAAAGATAGTCAAGCACTCACCATGGCTAAAAATTTGGGCTTTACCGGTGAAAAAACAAAACAGGTAATTTAGATAATAATTTAAGAAAAAAAATTTTTAATTAAAGTATTAACTGTTTATGTTACATAATCAGTTTGTATGTTTTTAAATAACATCCATTTTTATCAGGCGGCTGAGCAAATGCATAAGTTGTACAAGCTTTTTCTGAAAGTTGATGCCACTCAGCTGGAGATTAATCCATTTGGAGAGACAAATGATGGGAAAGGTTAGCTCTTAAATTCTTTTAATAATATGTTTGTATCCAACAATCACCACATGTTGCTAAAAAGTACTATATTTGTTTTTTTTTTGTTTATTGAAGAGATTAAAAACAAGTTAATTTAGATGACTCACACAATGTAAAAATCTCTTGACAAAATTAAGTTCTAAGCAATATTTCTTTTACATAGTTGTATGTTTTGATGCCAAAATCAACTTTGATGATAATGCCCAGTTTCGCCAAAAAGAAGTTTTTGCAATGGATGACATGTCAGAAAATGATCCAAGGGAAGTAGAAGCTGCCAAGCACAACCTAAATTATATAGGGATGGATGGAAACATAGCCTGTCTGGGTAAGTCATTTGAGCACATTTCAGATAACACACTCATATAAACAGGGCGACCTTCTTGTACAGTTTTGTCCATAATTTTACGATTTACACACCCAGGCTACAGAATTATGATTATGCCGCAAAGGTTTAGATTTTGTCTTCAGTTAAAATCAAAATCTTTGTTAGCATAAACTAGTGGGTTTTTGCTTGTGATAACTTCCAGTCTGAGTTTCATATTTAGCTAGTTAAAATTTCAGATATGTTATCAGGTTCTTCCCAATGTTATGGCAGACAGGAATAGTTGGGTCTATTTTATGAACTTTCATTAACCTTTTTTATGTTCTGTGGCCATTGATGAATATTGTAATCTTAATCATTGATTTACAAATTATTCAAGAAATAAGCAAATTCAAGTATGAGTGGGAGAAAAATAGTGACACATATGAGTGGTCACTGAGCTCACATTGGTTTAGATTCCTGTTTGAGATTGTTGTCTTACATTCCATTCTGAATGTCCAGGGCTTTTTTCTTGCAAGAATTTTGCTAGAATCTAGACCTTGACTCAAATATTATTTTCTTAAAAATAAATTTTAGTATGGGTCAGATTGTTGATTTTCATCATTATCCTGATAAGTTATGTGATGATGTTAAGTTATTCTTAATTACTTTGTATTAAAAAAAAATGAAAAAAACTTCTGAAAATTATGGGCAGTTTTAAATTTTTGCGTAAAATCTAGATCTATGCTCTCTTTACATAAAATGTATTTTTGGGGTAGGCAGCCCTGTATAAAACACACTTTCTTACATAGTAGGTTGCACAAGCTCTGATAATTTTTATAATAGTATAAAATTAATTGATATAAATTAAATATGTATTCTTTACCATAACAAGCATTTGGTAAGTTTACTTGAGAATTCACAGATAAATATAAACTTATTTTAAGTGAATGGAGCTGGACTGGCTATGGCAACAATGGACATTATTCAACTTCATGGTGGATCTCCAGCTAATTTTCTAGATGTCGGTGGGACAGTGACTGAAATACAGGTTTATAATGCATTTAAACTTCTCACAGCAGATTCACAGGTAAGTTCCACTTTATACATCACTTTTTAAGATAGACTGACCATCAGTTCAAAATGGTGTTTGTCTTTTATTTTATGCAGTCTTGTACTTATTATGTTATAGGGGATAGCATAGTAACACAATTGGGACATATTGAGGAAAGTAGGTCTTACTATATCATATTGATGTTAAAATGTAACTAAAAGTGTGTATACTGGTAAAGTTAAAAAAAAATTGAAGTAATTGCATGTAAACTTGTAAATTGTGTGACTCAATAGGTCAAAGCAATTCTAGTAAACATTTTTGGAGGCATTGTAAACTGTGCAACCATTGCAAATGGGATCTCAAATGCTTACAAGTCAGTGAATCTAACATTGCCACTTATAGTCAGGTTGGAAGGTATGTAAATATTATAATTATTTTGTCATATTAAAAATAAATTCTTCTTCTGTCCTATAATTCTGTAATTGAGATCAATTTCCTTGACCTAACCATAAATACTGAGATCAATAAACATAGTTCATTAAAAAATTGTGTGACTGATGTAACATATTTTTAACATCTTGCATGTTTTGGGCATTTGATATTATACTAAATCTGTGTAGGCTAAGGCTGATTTGTACCCTTATCTGTACTACAAATTTAGCAGTTTATCCTTAACTAGCTGAACACAGTACTGACAACATCACTGGACAAATTATCCCAAGTCTAGTTGGCAATATCAAAGGGAACAAACATACTGTTTGGTAATATGGAACAAATGAATTCAATTATTAGTATCCAACTATCTCTTGATTGTTATATCCATTTTAGGTACTAATGTAAATGAAGCAAAGAGAATATTAAAGGAGAGTAAAATGCCTATAATATCAGCTTCAGATCTTGATGATGCTGCTAGAAAGGCAGTTTCAAGTCTCAAATAACAAATAAGATTCATGCTGGTAGGTCTCACTTTGTGCTTCTCACTGTGTAGTAGATATAATCTTGATCCAACAACTTTAGAGCTATTGTAATCAAATTTCCCCATTCTATTAGAAAAAAAATCTTGATCAAACAACTTTAGAGCTATTGTAATCAAATTTCCCCATTCTATTAGAAAAAAAATCTTGATCCAACAACTTGAGAGCTATTGTAATCAAATTTCCCCATTCTATTAGAAAAAAAAATCTTGATCCAACAACTTAAGTTCTATTGTTATAAAATTTCCCCATTCTATTAGAAAGAAATCTTGATCCAACAACTTAAGTGCTATTGTTATAAAATTTCCCCATTCTATTAGAAATTTTTTTTGATCCAACAACTTTAGTGCTAATGTAATTGTAATCAAATCTCCCTATTCTATTGTATATAAATATACATTTATAATATTAATGTGTATGTTTAAAAGAATATATTTTGAGGAAACTGGCTATTTGAAGCCTGATATTAAACATTGATTTCAATTTTCTACAGCAAAGTGAGACAAGGACCTGTCAGATGTAGCTGTGTATTTGAATATCACTTAGTATATAGCTCACTTTTTGAAATATAGATGCTATTTTTATAAATAGATTATAAAATAAAATTCCATTGACAATAATATTTATTTGTTATTAAAGATCAATTGTGATTTCATTTTAGTTGTGATTTTGTCATATGATTGATACAAGTGCCAAAATAGATTTGAAAAATCACTCTTACTTAAGTAAAATACATTCCCTTGTCATATATGAAACATTAAAAGCCATAATTTGAGGCAATCAAATGTATGGTGAAATAGAATAATTAAAATTACAAATTTTAGAATTCTACTCGTTTTTTTTTCTATTGTTCTTGTATATAGGCCTATGTAATGGTTGTTTTCTGTGATGGGATAGTATTAGACAATTAGTCTTAAGTGTGTTTTTACATACAGCTGTTAAACCATAAAAATATTTTCTTTGTTAACACAATTGTTCATTTAGAAAAAATAGTTTCACTTTTTTATTGTTATTTATGTAAATTGTATATCCTTATGAATTAATCCTGTATGACTGGTTGAAAAAGATGACATGCAAGGATCAGTATGAATATCACAAGATTTTGTTGAATTATACAGATTTGTTACAAACAATGGCCTCTTCTAAACTTACCTTTTCATTTATACCTGTTATATGCTGAAGTACAGCTTATTGGCTGCTAATAAATAAACAGAAATGGGGTTTCTTTATTGTTTTTTAATGTTTAATTTCATGTGTGTTACTTGGAAAATCTTGCTATTTTGATTTATAATTTAATTTTGTTCACTATCCTCCTATGCAATAAAACAGTAGACACCCTTTAAAGCCAGCAGGTTCTAATTTAATCGCACACATACAACTGATACAAAAAAACTAGTTCTGTGACAGTAGCAATATGGTCTGTCTCGCATGCCTGGAGAGCGAGGGAGGGGCGGGAGGAGGGTTAGATAGTCAGCTTGCTTGCGTGGTGGTGTCCATGTAGAGAATGTATATTATATATGTATGTGTATATATATATATATATATATATATATATGATTATTGCTTACGATTATTAGCTGCCATCATGCCTGTGAGAGTATCCATGACCACCAACTGACCTGACTCATCGCTATTAGATCTATTAACACCTACATAATTATTTCCACCCTTCTAGTTTGTAGTCAGACGATTTCAACAGTTAAAAAGTGCCATTTTTGAAAGGCCACTACTGTAGGTAAAGGTATATCACTTTTGCTAACAGAAAACATTAAAGGTATTGTCTTCTCCTGTTTTGACAAAATTATCAAGGGAGGTAATAAGCAAAGTGACCATTTGATTAAAACGGCAATAGGTTACAATTAAAACGCAAACATAATACTGTCAAAATTTAGGAAGCAACTGCTCGAAGAATAAAAATGACATTTATAACCATAGCATGGTTTTTTAAAACACTAATGAGACCAAATGTGTCTTTAAACTTTTCCCAAAAATAAACGATTGATGGCACTTAGCGCTGACCAAATACTTGTAGGTGCATGCTATTTCAAATGAAGAAATCATTTCAGTAGATATCTATATATATAAAGCAAAGTGGTCAAGTGCCCGATAGGGCACTTCCCGGCGCCGCAGGCGCGTCAAATTTGGCACGATGGTGCCTTCGGGCGATAGAACACGAAGGCCGGTGACGGTTGGCCGAAAAGTCTACGGAGAAGGGGTCAAAACTGACCTCGACTGACCGGCGCCTTATATGGGCTATATTACGAAAAAAAATTTCTTCCGACGACCCCACTTGAAATTTTGTGAGGTGGTAGGAGAACACCTTGGGGTGTCACAAAAAACTCGCCATGTCCGGGAAAAATCGGGAATTGGGTCAAAACTGACCAGTCGTATTTCCCTATATAATCTTTGTATTTTATGGGAAAAACAGAGGGTCATTTCAAAACGGATTTTAGGGCACTTACCCTGTTTACATCTGGCTAATTTTTGGCATGTTTATAGGTAAATGGCTTGACCGTAGGGCAGACCTGTCGGTCTTACTCAAAGCCCTCGATGAGGGCTAAAAAGTGACCGCGAGTGAAATTCTCTTTATATGAGCTCTATTACGAAAAAAAATTTCCTCCGACGACCCCCCTTGATATTTTGTGAGGTGGTAGGAGAACACCTTGGGGTGTCACAAAAAACTCGCCATGTCCGGGAAAAATCGGGAAACGGGTCAAAACTGACCAGTCGTATTTCCCTATATAATCTTTGTATTTTATGGGAAAAACAGAGGGTCATTTCAAAACGGATTTTAGGGCACTTACCCTGTTTACATCTGGCTAATTTTTGGCATGTTTATAGGTAAATGGCTTGACCGTAGGGCAGACCTGTCGGTCTTACTCAAAACCCTCGACGAGGGCTAAAAAGTGACCGCGAGTGAAATTCTCTTTATATGAGCTCTATTACGAAAAAAAATTTCCGACGACGACCCCCTTGATATTTTAAGAGGTGGTAGGAGAACGCCTTGGGGTGTCACAAAAAACTCGCCATGTCCGGGAAAAATCGGGAAATGGGTCAAAACTGACCAGTCGTATTTCCCTATATAATCTTTGTATTTTATGGGAAAAACAGAGGGTCATTTCAAAACGGATTTTAGGGCACTTACCCTCTTTACATCTGGCTAATTTTTGGCATGTTTATAGGAAAATGGCTTGACCGTAGGGCAGACCTGTCGGTCTCACTCAAAGCCCTCGACGAGGGCTAAAAAGTGACCGCGAGTGAAATTCTCTTTATATGAGCTCTATTACGAAAAAAAATTTCCTCCGACGACCCCCCTTGATATTTTGTGAGGTGGTAGCAGAACGCCTTAGGGTGTCACAAAAAACTCGGCATATCTGGGAAAACTTCGTAAAGGGGTCAAAACTGACCAGTTGTATTTCCCTATATAATCTTTGTATTTTATGGGAAAAACAGAGGGTCATTTCAACGCAGACTTTAGGGTACTTAAGCTCAGTATATCTGGCTAACTTTTTGCATGCTCCTAGGACAATGGCTTGACCTTTAGGGAAAACTGTCGGTTACACTCAAAGCCCTCGACGAGGGCTAAAAAAAGACCGCGAGTGAAATTCTCTTTATATGAGCTCTATTACGAAAAAAAATTTCCTCCGACGACCCCCCTTGATATTTTGTGAGGTGGTAGAAGAACACCTAGGGGTGTCACAAAAAACTCGGCATATCTGGGAAAACTTCGTAAAGCGGTCAAAACTGACCAGTTGTATTTCCCTATATAATCTTTGTATTTTATGGGAAAAACAGAGGGTCATTTCAACGCAGACTTTAGGGTACTTAAGCTCAGTATATCTGGCTAATTTTTTGCATGCTCCTAGGACAATGGCTTGACCTTTAGGGAAAACTGTCGGTTACACTCAAAGCCCTCGACGAGGGCTAAAAAGTGACCGCGAGTGAAATTCTCTTTATATGAGCTCTATTACGAAAAAAAATTTCCTCCGACGACCCCCCTTGATATTTTGTGAGGTGGTAGAAGAACACCTAGGGGTGTCACAAAAAATTCGGCATATCTGGGAAAACTTCGTAAAGCGGTCAAAACTGACCAGTTGAATTTCCCTATATAATCTTTGTATTTTATGGGAAAAACAGAGGGTCATTTCAACGCAGACTTTAGGGTACTTAAGCTCAGTATATCTGGCTAACTTTTTGCATGCTCCTAGGACAATGGCTTGACCTTTAGGGAAAACTGTCGGTTACACTCAAAGCCCTCGACGAGGGCTAAAAAGTGACCGCGAGTGAAATTCTCTTTATATGAGCTCTATTACGAAAAAAAATTTCCTCCGACGACCTCCCTTGATATTTAGTGAGGTGGTAGAAGAACACTTAGGGGTGTCACAAAAAACTCGGCATATTTGGGAAAAGTTCGTAAAGCGGTCAAAACTGACCAGTTGTATTTCCCTATATAATCTTTGTATTTTATGGCAAAAACCGGGAAAATTTAACACAATTTTTAGGTTACTTAACGTCTGTACATCATGCTAAGTTTTTGCATACACTACTATAGATGACTATGCCGTATGGAAAAACTGTTGGTCAGACTCAAAGCCCTCGACGAGGGCTAAAAGATGATCGTGAGTGAAGTTCACCTTATATGAGATATATATATAAATAAATTGACGAACGATCCCCTTAATATTATATGACGTCGTAGACCGACCCTGGAGGGTAACAAAAAAATGTATTCCCGTCGGAAACAGCCATTATAGTCGTTAAATATGTTCATATACCGTAATTTCTTATATAAGCATAGCAAAGACATTCGTCATACGTTCAGTTTTCAAGGGAGGTAACGTTTTTAAATTATTATTTTTCAAATAATTGTATACTATTTTAAATAGAAACAGAAAATGACGAAGTATAGCATTTGTTGTAGTACAAAATTAAGTTGTTAATTCAGTTACGTATCCTAATTAGATAATCAAATAAATTTCAAAAGGCAATGTAATATAAACCATTAGATATACTGTTCATGAAACCTGTGTAGTTCTAATTCCATTTTAGTTATACATTGCGTACTTTCCACTATTTCTCTAAGTACGGGATTTAAATGACAAACAAAACATTTTTTTCTAAAGTTAGCTTTACTGTTTAAATTAAAGCACTCTCCACCCACCCAATCCATCGCTAAATAATTAAGTATTCAAATTCTCAAATGTTTTTTAAAAACCTAAGCGAAGCTAGGCAGTATGCCTAGTACAATAAATATACTAAAATCAAAGTTTGGTGTCGGCGATTGTTCACACAAAAAGTTCCGTCGGGTGTGTGTGGGTGTTGAGTAGTCAAATTTTGTAGCCCAATTTTGATTCATTACAATTACAAACAGAGCGATATCTGTCCAAATAGTGATGGAAGAAGGTATGTCAGCTCGACCTAAAACTGAGCTTTCGTCCCGCATAAGGCTGTATTTAGTAGATTTTTCACTTTATAGACCAAACGCCCAGGCCAATTTGCGAAGTGGCTACACTTCATGCTTTGACCGTAAATATAAGTGAGTAGTATATTCCTCGCTCGTGTTTGTACGGCATTCTAGGCGTACACTGACATGGACCAAAGACCGACATAAACAAAATCAACAGAACACGAAGAAAACAGCCCACCCCATTGTTGGTTTCCTATTTTGACAGTTTATACATTAATGTTATTAAAGTAGATCGCTTGTGTTTTGTTACTTTAATATATATATATATATATATATATATATATATATATATATATATATATATATATATATATATATATATATTTATATATATATATATATATATATTTATTTATTTATTTGTATTTATTTAATTTATATATATATATTTATATATAATCTATATCCTAATTGAGTATTTTAGTCTATTTCATTGCAATACAAAACCATTCTGAGACAACAAACCAGACAAAATTAATCCAAACTCATTTTGGGCCAGAAGTAATAATTTAATAATCTAGTCTAATTGCTTGTCATGCTGGTCAAAGCTATATAAAGACGTAAGCTTGATTTGTGAATGGTTTCTCGCGTTATGTTTTTAAAAATAGTTTTTATAATATTAATTTTGATTGTTTAGTACGTCTTATTAAAATAATAATTCCGAGAATCAATTGCTTTTTAATTTACATAGTACAAAACTATTTAAATGAGCTTTATGGGCGCCCATGTTTTAAAGAAGGGCAGTAAGTCATGGAAGTCGTGTGAACGTTTGCCTTCATTTCAAACTACAGCTCTTGTAGATTTTAAAATATTTTTCTACGCAACAGTGTGTGATAGTAACTGTAGAACAATCTCTGCTGTAGTAGACCTGTTTTTTAGCGCAATTTCCATACTGGACAATTGCGATTATTAACTCGTTATTTCTGGATGGATGGATGGATGTGCGCAGCTTTAAGTCGTATCTCCTCCTCAACGAAGCAATATCGAGGACTAGTTCCAAAAGCAAATATGTTAAGCAAGTTCCGAGGATGAACATAGGCCAAAAAAATTCCCGGAATTCCTTCCTGGATTTCCCGGAAAAGCCAAAAAAAACTCGAACAAATGCAGTTTTTGCTCCATATCTCGGCAACCAGACTACTTAGCGACTTGAAACATTTACCAATCGATTCCTGCCATAATTTAAACCAATATTGCCGAAGAAAGTTTTCAAAAATATCCTTTCGTTCGGTCACAAAAAATTAATTAAGAACATTTAAACTGAGCATCGTGTAGGCCTTGGATGATATTTTAAACTGAGCATCGTGTAGGCCTACTCGTTAAAATAAAACTATTTCCGTTGATATTTTCTATTACCCCCTACACGTCCGCATATTTTTTTTAAAATCTCGTTAATAAATATTTTTTCTATTTTGTTTTGAATTATTAAAACTACTTGTGTTGCATTATTTATTTGCTGAATATATGATTTATCTCGATTTAAAATTGTTATGGATAACATAAAAAAATTGCGCTTAAATTGTCACTAGACTTTTTATTAACTTGTTTTTTACTAAACCACTTTCAAAATGCATGAAAAACATAATTTCTGAAAAAAAGTTCAGTGTTTTTTTTGTGTGTCGGAACTGCCCCCCCTCCCCCCCCCCCCCCGCATTGCGGCGTCTGGCGGCATGGTAGTTCCGCCCCTGATACAGGCTGTGTATAAATTTCAACAATATATAAATGCCTAAGTCGCATATTTCGGTTAAAGTTGCCAGAATTCTGTAAAGCATGCGTCAGCAATCCGGGACATCAAAAGCCGCGAGTGGATAAAGAGACATTGATAAAAAGAAATGGATAAAGAGAAATGGATAAAGAGACATGGATAAAGATAAATGGATAAAGATAAATGGATAAAGAGACATGGATAAAGAGACATGAATAAAGAGACATGGATAAAGATAAATGGATAAAGAGACATGGATAAAGATAAATGGATAAAGAGACATGGATAAAGAGACATGGATAAAGAGACATGGATAAAGAGACATGGAAAAAGAGACATGAATAAAGAGACATGGATAAAGATAAATGGATAAAGAGACATGGATAAAGAGACATGGATAAAGAGACATGAATAAAGAGACATGGATAAAGATAAATGGATAAAGAGACATGGATAAAGAGACATGGATAAAGAGACATGGATAAAGAGACATGAATAAAGAGACATGGATAAAGATAAATGGATAAAGAGACATGGATAAAGATAAATGGATAAAGAGACATGGATAAAGAGACATGGATAAAGAGACATGGATAAAGAGACATGGATAAAAAGAAATGGATAAAGAGACATGGATAAAAAGAAATGGATAAAGAGAAATGGATAAAGAGACATGGATAAAGAGACATGGATAAAGAGACATGGATAAAAAGAAATGGATAAAGAGACATGGATAAAAAGAAATGGATAAAGAGAAATGGATAAAGAGACATGGATAAAAAGAAATGGATAAAGAGACATGGATAAAGAGACATGGATAAAGAGACATGGATAAAGAGACATGGATAAAGAGACATGGATAAAGAGACATGGATAAAGATAAATGGATAAAGAGACATGGATAAAGAGACATGGATAAAGAGACATGGATAAAGAGACATGGAATTTTAGACCCCCCCCCTACAGTCTACACGCACCCAATTTGGATGACACCCCCCCCCCCCCCTCTCCTGATTAGGACGTCCACAAAAATCAATTAGTTCTCTAAATATTTACTTTCAATGTAAACTTCTTAATGGTTTGGGGAAGGGGCGGCGGACAACAATTTCCGGGGGGGGGGGGGGGGGGGGGGCGGACACTGTCAAAAGTATATACTTTCTATATAAATACCATTTCGTTCGGGGGGGGGGGGCAGTGCCCCCCGAAGAGATGCCTGGAAGAAACGCTGCATGTGTAAATACTTATTTCGGGCTACATAGCTTGTTGTTCTAATTTATTAATTAACCATATTATGTTAATTAGCCTCCAAAGTTATTTGTAGATGACTTTAGTTGAAGGTTCTTTTGGCTAATAATAGTTTAATTCAGATCAACGTTTGAAAATGTATGTTAGGTTTTATGTTTGTTTAGGATTTGTCTAGGAGCTATTACCATTTGAATCATTTAAGACAGGGGTCTCCAAACTTTTCAGCCCGAGGGCCGCATCAACTATCAAATATCAGTTCGGGGGCCGGTTTCTTCCAGGCATCTCTTTCAGTGGCGGACCCCCCCCCTCCCCCCCCCCCCCCCCGAAGAACGTCAACCCCTCCCCCACCCCAACGAAATATAATTTATATAGAAATATATACATATTTCTGCTCAGAACTTTCTCACAACTAAGCCATCTTACTGCTGTGTAATAAGGTAAATCTTGCGATTATGTATTTGTTTCTTTCGACATGATTGCCTCTATCTATGGTTGAGCCCATGTGACCTTATAAAATTCACCATCTTCACCACAGGATTCAGTACACTGCTAATGTCCATATATTTAGCACACAAAGCTTGCTGATGAATAATACAGTGTAGGAACATTGGTTGTAGAATGTTTTTTTCTCATTCGCTTTTCCAATCAAGCCTTTTTTTTTGCCACTCATGTACTTTTCTCCATCAACAGCCAGATAACAGGTTAGTCCAGTCCAAGTTATAATCAGCGTTTTTTTAGTCATTGAATATATCCTTTCGGTATCAGTGCCATGCATGTTATGTAGGGAAGACAGCTCGTGTGTTATGTTCTTGTCTTTAACCACACCTCTAATGAACACAAGCAACTGAGAGGTGGGCAATGGTATTTGCACCCAAAGCTACATTTTCAAATTGTTTGAATTTTCTGGGCAAAGTTCCTCAGCCATCTCTAAAAAACATTTTTTTCCATGAAAAAAAAAAGATCTCCGCGGGCCGGACGAGAGGACCTCGCGGGCCGCATCCGGCCCGCGGGCCGTAGTTTGGAGACCCCTGATTTAAGACATTAGAGCTTAAAATAAAGAAGGAAAAATTGCTACATTTGTCATGCAATGCTAATCATTGGACTAGTCTCAATGTCCATCTAGCAGACGACACCTAGCCTCGAAAATTTGGGACCAGCTACAGTAAAATAAGCTAAAAGAGAGGCTTGATTGCTAAAAACAATGATGATCTCTCCGTTGAATGTAGTAGAAAATACAATATCAACGGGTATTCATAAAAAAAACCAATAGGAATTTCTGCCAGCCTGCAATGAATCATTGCGCGTGCGTAGAACTCGGGAATATTGATTTTCTTGAGATATCGGCGAGAGCCAAGCTGTAGCTGTCAGCTTGTTTCTCTGTTCAATTCTCTCAGTTGAAATATTCCAATGTGCTCTAACTATTTGAAACATGGAGGATGAAGATTGCTATTTGGTAGGGCTCAGTTGGTAAGGGACCAGTGGGTCGAACCGTTAGCCATGGATGTTCGTGACAGATTCTTTCAGACTGAAAGCAAGCGAGTGCCAGAAAAAGAAGGTACGAATGCTAGTCTTCTTCTGTTCTTTTTTTCAGAGACGTGAAATACAGTTTTTTCTATGTGTACGACTAGACGACCTACGTTACGTAGGCCTATAGATTTTATATGACACGGACTAATAAGAAATAAACTCATTTTAAAACATTGACAACCGATATCGATTATTGGGAGAAGAAAAGTATCTCTGTGTAGAATAAAATTTTTGAACGTTAGAACAAATGAGTATAGAGATCAATGTTTCCCCAAGAAACATGTGTCTGGTGTCTGAAACATGGTAGACAAGCTTGAAGTAACAAGAAATACAAATTGGATTATTTGAGGTTGTGACGTTCAAGGATCTGGTGATGAAAGCATAATAAAAAGAAACATCAGAATTGCGTGTATTTTATGATAGCTTTAAACAGGTGGACGGACAACGGTACAGTACAACAGGTGGACGCACTACCGTACTGTACAACAGGTGGACGTGTACAACAGGCGGACGGACTACCGTACTGTACATCAGGCGGGCGGACTACCGTACTGTACATCAGGCGGACGGACTACCGTACTGTACAACAGGTGGACGGACTACCGTACTGTACAACAGGTTGACGGACTACCGTACTGTACAACAGGTGGACGTGTACAACAGGCGGACGGACTACCGTACTGTACAACAGGTGGACGGACTACCGTACTGTACAACAGGTTGACGGACTACCGTACTGTACAACAGGTGGACGTGTACAACAGGCGGACGGACTACCGTACTGTACATCAGGCGGACGGACTACCGTACTGTACAACAGGTGGACGTGTACAACAGGTGGACGTGTACAACAGGCGGACGGACTACCGTACTGTACATCAGGCGGACGGACTACCGTACTGTACAACAGGTGGACGTGTACAACAGGTGGACGGACTACCGTACTGTACAACAGGTGGACGTGTACAACAGGTGGACGGACTACCGTACTGTACAACAGGTGGACCATTTGCATCGCTTTGTAAAATAATTCAAAATGTTATACTATCCTATCCTGTTATGATATATATATATATATATATATATATATATATATATATATATATATATATATATATATATATATATATATGCGAAAATCACACAAAACACCATTGGACCAATGAAACTAGCGAGAAGTAACTGATGGCAACAATCGCCACTGAGAATACAGCGGGCATTCTTTGCTGGTCATTATTTACATTGGGACCGCCGTGGAGTTCAATTTCGAGAGCTGAAAAAACAGAGGGGCGGGCTAAGACAAATGAATTGAATGGGGATGGTGCATTATTGTCCCCCTGGGGACGAGAGGACGCAAGACAATGACGAGGCGGGGATCAGAGCGGTAGGCTTAAATATAACGCAGGAAATCTAGTGTGATAATGGTTGATCCTTGAGTACATCTCATAAGGAAATATTTCGACATGTTCAGGTAAACGCTGATTTCTTTCATTCACTACACACTGACATCGTATTTGGTGGGATACGACACACTGACATCGTGATGAGGTACGACATACTGACAACACGTAAAGTAAAATATGACACATCTGTTTAATAAAATTAATTATTATTGCTATTTATCTTCTGTGCTGTATATCCCTACCACATACACGACCAACCTCTACTACACACAAAAAACCTCTACTACACAAAAAACCTCTACTACACAAAAAACCTCTACTACACACAAAAAACCTCTACTACACAAAAAACCTCTACTACACACAATAACAAACCTCTACTACACACAACAAACCTCTACTACACAAAAAACCTCTACTACACAACAAACCTCTACTACACACAATAACAAACCTCTACTACACACAATAACAAACCTCTACTACACACAAAAAAACCTCTACTACACACAATAACAAACCTCTACTACACACAATAACAAACCTCTATTACACACAACAAACCTGTACTACACACAACAAACCTCTACTACACACAATAACAAACCTCTACTACACACAATAACAAACCTCTACTACACACAAAAAACCTCTACTACACACAATAACAAACCTCTACTACACACAATAACAAACCTCTACTACACACAAAAAACCTCTACTACACACAAAAAAACCTCTACTACACACAATAACAAACCTCTACTACACACAAAAAACCTCTACTACACACAACAAACCTCTACTACACACAAAAAATCAATACACACCATTACAAACCTTTACTACACAACAAACTAATACACACAATAACAAACCTCTAGTCCACACATCAAACCTCTACTACACAACAAACCAATACATACAACAACAAACCTCTGCTACATACATCAGAAACTACTACTACTAAATCAGTGGCGGAACTAGAAAAAAAAGGGCCACCCCGCAAAAAATAAATTTGGGCCCCATATATATATATATATATATATATATATATATATATATATATATATATATATATATATATATATATATATATATATATATATATATATATATATATATATATATATATATATATATATTTATTTATATATATTTACTCCTGTTATAGACATGATTTTTTATTCATTTTGAATTACTTAAACTTTTTAAAATAGATTAGAATCTCGTAGAAAAAGAAATGCGCACCAAGTGAACGCCAAACAATATGTGTATAATAGTGCGGAATATTATTAGTACTTTATAAATTCACATGCATTTTTTGAGAAAACGGAAATGGCGTAAATTACTACTTCCGGTAAACGGAAATTACTCAGAATTTGACAGAAGGCAGAAAATTGGATTTTTTACTTACATGTGAACTTTCATTTATCTATCTGAAACAGTACTCAAGTTATAGGCTTTTGAAATATTAAAAGTAGAATAAGTTCCACTTCCGGTGATCGGAAATCGCTGAAAAGTTGATACAAATTTGATACAATACTTATATATGAAATTTCATCAACCTAGCTGTAACGGTACTCACGTTATCGTGTTCACAGACACAGACACATACACACACATAGACATATAGGCAAAATTGCAAAACTATGTTTTTTCCGACTCAGGGAGGTGTAAAACGTCGAGATCTGTGAAAATCTCGATTTTTTTTAGAACAATTACAATACTCCCTCTATACTTCGTATTCGAGAAAGTAAAAAGAAAGGACACATTTTTGAAAGATTGTTATTTTGAATGTGAAAATATAACCCCTACATTATTAACATCAATAGATCGTCTGTAAATGATGGGAAGGGACAGTATCGTAGTAAGAGGGCAGCCGTAGAAAAGTAGGACAAATTTTAAATGCTTATTTGGATCAAAAGAAATAACCCTAATATTCAAACGATACTTACAGATTTGATTCAACGCCAGCAAGCAGCCACGGTCCCGATAAACAACTCAAGAGATCGCTGGTCCCATTTGACTGATGTGACAAGACCGCTGATACAGTCGAGGAGTTTGATGTTTGTAACCAGACGTACGCTCGGTGATTTGTATAGCCAACATTTGGCGCTATTGACGATGGATGTCAGTTGCTGATAAAAATAAATGCTGCTGTTTGATGCATCTCTCGGCGCACACAAAAACTTGCGCCAACTTTCGACGTTAAATTTAAATGATGTCAAACTTATAATAATGTTTCCACGCCCTTCTCGTTTTCTGCGGATGTTAATATTTGTATCTGTGTTCATATTTCTAATCATATCAATGTATATTTTTACTTCAAAATTTGGCGATCAACAGAAAGTAAATAGTATGTATGAGCGCCATTACAAGTTGTCAACATTTGAAGACATTTGCGGTTTTTCGAAATCTCACCAAGATGTTGATCCGTCAAACTCATCTAACAACGAAAAGGACCAGACACCAGTTTTACAGACGATACACGAAGTTAGTTTTGATAAACAAGTTCAAATGAAATTAGAAAACCACCAGACGAGTAAACATGACAAGTTTAGTTTTGAGTTCACTGGTCAAATAGTAAACCCCCATTCGTTCTCGTACATTCATAATCCTGTTTCCTTATGCCGCTCGCCCACCGTGAGGTTTCTTATTTACATCCATTCATCGCCAAACAATTTAAAGAAACGTCAGGCCATCCGACAAACCTGGGGTCAGCCTAAAATACTTTTATTGTACAAAGCTTTCATGGTCTTCATTTTAGGCCGCGCCACTGACCCCGCTGTCCAGGAGCTTGTGGATATGGAGGCAGCGCATTATGGGGACATTGTCCAGGAGGATTTTGTTGATTCTTATAGGAATCTCACGTACAAAGGGGTCGCTGGCTTGAAATGGGCGTCTTTGTTTTGTAACCAATCAGACTTTCTTTTGAAGACAGACGACGATATTCTAATAGATATCGTTACCCTCATCGAAGATCTGTACACTAGAGTCATTCCTATCAGACACAGCACGGGCAGACTGGTGCTATGTAATCTGTGGACAAGGATGAAGGTCATCCGAGACCCCAAATCCAAATGGTTTATTTCAAGGGAAGAATTTTCCGGCGAATATTTCCCTCCCTACTGCTCAGGGTCTGCTTTTTTACTGAGCTCGGAGTTGGCGCCGGCTCTATACACGGCGGCGCTTCATACCCCTTTCTTTTGGGTCGATGATTATTACATCACAGGCCTGTTGGTCAGCAAACTACGAGTACAGCATACACGGTACAATACAGCTTATTCACTCAATTATAACAACGCCGAGGAGAAACTAAAGAACAATTCCAGAGAACTCATTGTCTTTCATACAAAAAAATTAAACGTATTTCTCAAACTCTGGCCAGTGATTGTACAAAGACATGAAGGGATGGATGCCTATTTACAACAAATACCAATCAGTACTTTTTCGAAAGGAAGGTCAGCTAAGGCAAAGACATCGGTAACAGGCTGCATTCAAAAGAAAGAATATTTACCACAAACTACATTGAATGGACCGAAATCTGGACCATCTTATGGTTTTAGCACCTGATAGAGAAAATGGTCCGACCATTACTGTTTGGAAGAGAACCCTTTTTAGTAAGGTACCATGCTGGTGTGTCGAATCAAAAATATTATTGTGCTATGGGGCTGCTAACGCTTGGTGATTAAAACCAGAAGTTTCTTGTTTAAATTGTGTTTACTGAACGCCAATAGTTCTAAATCTCTGAATCCCATAGAGAGCTCAAATTCTAATAGAGCCAAGACCTTAGGTGTATCTAATCATTTCATATTCTAATAGAGCCAGGACCTTAGGTGTATCTAACCATTTCATATTCTAATAGAGCAAGGACCTTAGGTGTATCTAACCATTTCATATTCTAATAGAGCCAGGACCTTAGGTGTATCTAATCATTTCATATTCTAATAGAGCCAGGACCTTAGGTGTATCTAATCATTTCATATTCTAATAGAGCCAGGACCTTAGGTGTATCTAACCATTTCATATTCTAATAGAGCAAGGACCTTAGGTGTATCTAACCATTTCATATTCTAATAGAACCAGGACCTTAGGAGTTAAGTTCTCTTAAAATTTGACCAATAACTCAAAAAGATTTCACCATTTTCTGAGTTGTAAGAACAGCAGTATTGTGATTGAATGTTTCTATTGATATTTTAGTGTTTCTTGGTATTGTATTGTTAACTCGGATTATTTGTAATGTAGAAACTGCACACCAACGCTCCCCCTCCCCCTTTCTCTGGGTCAGAATTTCTTCCAGGCATCTCTTCGGGGGGGGGGGGGGGCTTTGCACCCCCCGAAAAAATTCTACCCCCCCCCGAACGAAACAAAGTTTATATAATTTATATAGAAAATATATACTTTTAACAGAGTCCACGCCCCCTCAAAGAAAGTCTACCACCCCCCCCCCCCCCGAAAATTTCAAGTGCCCCCCCCCCCCGGAGAAAAGAGTCTGGAAGAAACACTGCTCTGGGTCTGTGTTCATAAGGCACAAAAGGCGGCCCGTGTTGGTTTATCTTAGTTGTACCAGCGAATCCACGTCAGTATGACAGTGTAGGTTATTTGGCTGACATGTTGACCACGTGATTATTGTGATGTATTTATAATGCTCTAATGTTCCATACACAAAACAATCATAACAATGTTAATACTGTTGTACCTCATTAACGTCTCTAATTTATTTATATAATTATTTTTCTACATTTTAAAACAAGTAGGCTATATTAAAATGTGCGATTCGATTCGTGAATATTTTTTTTCTTAATTAGTAAAGCTATGCTTGCAACGACAAAAGTAATTGTTTTAAAATGGTAACTGACGTGGATAAAAATTGAGTTGACAAGTATCATTACGAGAAAAACAAGATGTCAAATGGGGCCTACTACAAACACGGGAGTCAGTCCATACAGCCAGATGATTTTAATGGGGTTAGGTAGGAACAGTGTTTCTTCCAGGCATCTCTTCGCCCCCCCCCCCCCCCGAACGAAATGGAATTTATATTGACAATATATACATCTAACAGTGCTCTCCACACGGAGAAAAAAAGTCTGGAAGAAACACCGGGCTATAGCCAAAATTTATTCTCAATGTGTTCATGAATGAAGATTTATTGTACAAACCTTATTTCTATGTCTAATTTTCTTGATCGAAAACCGACTTAGTCTAAATTAGGATGTGAATATTTAGGAATCGAAGTTGCTCTTATCTTTGCCTTAAGGTGTCAGTTGTAAAAGTCCTTTGATTTCTATTATTTTAAAATGAACTTATGATCACTAACTTGTGCGTTTAAGTTTGTTTGGTTTATGGTATGTGCTTGGTTGTCACTTGACGTGTCGGCGTCATAACCTGTACGGAGTAGTCAATTGGTAGAGCATACGATGGCTCACCCGATTGTCTTGAGTTCGAATCCGCGTACAAGTACGAATAACATTTCTGATTCCATCCAGCTCTAATTAACGTGCTTACCATATGCCGAGGTCACAGAAGCAGGTGAACTCTACTTCACTTGCCATGGATCGTAATGTTATCTCTAAACTAATTGTGCGCTATGAATTGAACTGTCTTAAGGACTAGATCATTCTAGATTAATCTATGCCTACTTATATACAAAGCTAGACCTACATACGTTATTTGTATAAACGTATACAACTAAATATTTATAAGCCACTGTTTCCAAGTAATGTTACCGTTGAATCTTTCCTAAATAGAGCCTCATGTCAGGGCTATGTGAAGACAAACATAACAAGTCTACAAATGCAGACAACATAAGTCTACAAATGCAGACAACATAACAAGTCTACAAATGCAGACAACATAACAAGTCTACAAATGCAGACAACATAACAAGTCTACACATGCAGACAACATAACAAGTCTACAAATGCAGACAACATAACAAGTCTACAAGTGCAGACAACATAACAAGTCTACACATGCAGACAACATAACAAGTCTACAAGTGCAGACAACATAACAAGTCTACAAATGCAGACAACATAAGTCTACAAATGCAGACAACATAACAAGTCTACAAATGCAGACAACATAACAAGTCTACAAATGCAGACAACATAACAAGTCTACACATGCAGACAACATAACAAGTCTACAAATGCAGACAACATAACAAGTCTACAAGTGCAGACAACATAACAAGTCTACACATGCAGACAACATAACAAGTCTACAAATGCAGACAACATAACAAGTTACAAATGCAGACAACATAACAAGTCTACAAATGCAGACAACATAACAAGTCTACAAGTGCAGACAACATAAGTCTACAAATGCAGACAACATAACAAGTCTACAAGTGCAGACAACATAAGTCTACAAATGCAGACAACATAACAAGTCTACAAATGCAGACAACATAAGTCTACAAATGCAGACAACATAACAAGTCTACACATGCAGACAACATAACAAGTCTACAAGTGCAGACAACATAACAAGTCTACAAATGCAGACAACATAAGTCTACAAATGCAGACAACATAACAAGTCTACAAATGCAGACAACATAACAAGTCTACAAGTGCAGACAACATAACAAGTTTACAAATGCAGACAACATAACAAGTCTACAAGTGCAGACAACATAACAAGTTTACACATGCAGACATCAAACACAGCTTAGATAAGATATTTATTTCAAGTGCATCAAGTGAATACAGCTCACATTCTACAAAGTTGTCTAAAGAGGAGCTAAGAAATTAAAAACGTAATTCAAATTAAAAATGTCTTAAAACTAAGTTTTAGTACATTTGTGACATATGGAATTGTAATCAGTGTATTTATTGAAATATGTCCAGTTACTCAAATAATGAAGCCTCTTATCAGCTAAGACACATGTAAGTCAAAGCTCGGCAGAATTACAAATCAGAATGAGCAAACACTTGTAGCTGAAGCTTTGACGGGTCAGAATAGAGAAACAATGCTGCCTTTTTACATGTTTACAGTATGTTACATAAGAAAATGAAAATGGGATTTTTCTCTTTTAATATAAAAACCATTTACACGTGAGAAAAAAAACAAGAATAATTAATAAAAAGTTGTTCTGGAAGATGAGCAGATAAAAATATAGAACAGGTAAAGTAAGCAAATCATGTTCTTCATGATGATACTTCCACAAAAATTCACATGGCAACATTATCTACAAGAAAATAAATAATAGTAGTTGGAGATACAAAACTAGAATAGACCTTCAAGTCTGACATGGGAGGCAACTTTACAGCTTTATAGAGAATGAATATTAGTCTGGAGAACAGTAATTTTATTTTGTTTGTTTTAAGCTGAAATTTGAAATCTAAAAATAATTATATATTCAATGATTACAACATCTGGTCTGTTAGAATTATTTACAAATATGTGCCAGATGCACAGCTTCATACATATATGTACATATATATATATATATATATATATATATATATATATATATATATATATATATATATATATATATATATATATATATATATATATATATATATATGTATTTCACAGTTCATGAAGAAAAAGTGAGTATTGGTATGTCTTAGCAGGGACATTTACAAGTGCTTACATGACATTATGTACAAATGTTAGGGTTATGTTTCCACATCTTTCTTATTTCTGTGTGATATAAAATCTTCCTGAATGGAAAAACAACCATCTACTGGATTACTATTACTCTGAGATCAGCAAAAATTGGTTGGATTGTTTGTGTACAAGAACTTTTGTCATCATGTATAACAAAATCATTAACTTCAAATCACCTGCCTCAATCAAATAGTACAGATGAACAGAAATTCAAAGCATTTCTTTAGTTGCATGCAATAAAAACAACATATTTTCAATAAAAAATTGCATAAAATATACTATACAAGAACAGAAAATGAGGTAAAATATTTTTAGATCTATATCTACAATATATGTAGCAGATGCTTGTTAATGTTATACTTGGTGTCATATGTAATTTCTCTAGGATCTTATAAGTAAAATGTTTCAACAGGTACAGTCAATAATAAAAAATGTAACTTGTGCCATTAGTCTAATATACTACTCAAAATGTGTCATAGAATAAAGCTAGATCTAACTAGCATCCAAACATTAGTACAGAAATGTTTTTCATTTTTGTGGAATAAAAAAGTTTTCAGATATTTTTAAACATTCCTTTTTAAATATATTCACTTCTAAAAACTCTAAAAAACTTCTAAAAAAAGTAGAAAATAAGTTAAACACTTTGGTGATCAAATATATAATTAACAACTGCTAAAAAATATACAACTTTTCAAGAACATTGATTTTTAACAATTTTTGAAAACATTTTAGAACATTGGATGTAAGGTAGGTTGAGATTGGTTTTATATATTACTCTCAGAGGGTCCATAGTTGTTGCCATATCTGTCAACAAGAGGGGCATAACTAGCTGGTCCACTGTAGGCTGAACTCTGAGCTGTAGTGTAGGAGGGGGGAGAGTAGTAAGGTTGTTGGGCTGGGTAGGGCTGGCCCCAGGTGGAGCTCAATACTGACTCTGTATCAGCTGTGTCAGCGATAGATTCTCCCATCTGGTGGCGTCTCTTCTTCATCCCCTCAGTTAGGTTGACCAACTGGTCCCACTTTGAGGCTTGTGGTTGTGGAATTGGAGCTGGTTTTGGAGCAATGGGTGGTTTAGCTACACCTGGCATAGGTACCATCACTGGTGGCCCACCTGGAGCTCCTGCTATATAAGGAACACCAAACTGCTGGTAGGGCATTGGATAGCCAACAGGCATGAGGGGTGGAGCAAACATTGGCTGCTGATGAGGAAGGTAGGCAGACGATGGGTTGACACTTGGAGCAACACTTGAAGCTGCAACTGATTCAACATCTTCATTAGAGCTGGATAAGCCAACACTGGCTGAGCCAGTTGACCTGTGACCTCTATGTTTAGGCTTAGCTGTACTGTATTCACTTTCTGTATCCATTTCTCTTGATTTAGAATGAGATCTTTTCTTTCTACTCTTTCTGTCATCATCATCATCAGAATCATTCATCCTGGATCTGCTACGATGGTGTCGCTTCTTATCCTCTTCACTGGAGTCTCTGTCTACAGATTTGGATCTGCTGCTAGCCACACTCACATCATCCCTTGAGCGTGAGCGCTTATGTTTTCTCAGACTCTCCTGACTTTTGCTTCTGGATTTCAAATGATTTGATTTTACCGACACCCCTGATTTAGTTGAGCCGACAGAATCTTTTCTTTCTCTTGGGAAACTTGTCTGCACCCCACGATTATAGCGCTTTCCATGCCTAGTTTTGGCCAAAGACTTTCTACCAAAGACATAAACACCTTTATCATTACCTGTCCAGGTGGCACACTCTCTGACAACAACAGCAGTGGCCATGTCACCTGAAGATTTCTCTCTATCAAAATCTCCCATTCTTGAGTCCATATCATCATATGCATAAGATGACAGGGACACAGTTTCACCCATTGAGTTTTTACGTTTCCTACCATATAAAGATGATCTGGAGGCATAAAGTGATGTCTTAGATCCGGATCTCTTAAAAGCTGTTTAAAATAGATTAAAAAAAAAACAGTGACAGATTGTGTGAAAAATTTAAAAGTAAACAAATTTGCATGTCAATGCTTACTACTAAATAACCACCAAACAATATAAATGTCAAACAATTACATCCACTCTAAATTTTTATTAAAATATCTTATTTCCATTGACTGCAATTAATATTCTTGACTAAAATTTTCAAGTTAAAGCCCAAGCAGATATCAAGAAATTGCAACAGACTTACGCATATAATTGCTGTCTAAATCATCATCTTCCTCATCATCTTCTGTAAAGTTAAGAGAGCGCACACTACCAGAGGATTTGGAGCGAGCTGGCTGATTATTTGCTTCTAAGGCTTCTATGGCATTTCCTGTACTTTTAGACCTGACCATTTTTTGACCTTTAGACTTTGGTTTTCGTCCACTGGCTGATTTCTTGAACCTCCCCTCATATTCTTTGTCATGTGTTCTACCTCTTTCCTCATCCTCCTCCCTATATTTTCTTTCATCTTTTTTCCTCCCTCTTTCATTTTCCTCTTGATCTCTATGCCTGCTGTTAGATCTTGATTTGTTTTTCCTTTCTCTGTCTGAGTCCTCACTCTCATCAGTGTCACGACTTCTGTCCTTCCTCTTCTTCACTTCTGGCTTTGGTTCTACCTTCTTTTCCCTGTTAGGTCTCAGTGCATGTTGCTTGTCCTGATGAGCGGGTTTTGGAGCAGGTTTATCATCTATTTGTGTTGTATCTGAAGAGGATGAAGATGGCCGAGCTCGATGAATGGCAGCAACGTGACCTCGTTTCTCTGGGCTAGGTGACCTGGTGGCAGATGTGGGCAACGGTGGTAGTTTGGGCTTTGATAGTGGGGCCCCGGCTGAGTTAATGGATGAGGAGGAAGTTGTTGAGATGCTTTGAGATACTCGTTTGACTCTTTCATCAGCGTCTCGCTCATTTTCATGAAAGGATTTACGGAATTTTGGATTGTTGTGAAGAGCTGCTAACACTCCTGTTTTAGGAGGGGGCAGCTGATTTTCAGTTGAGGAAGTACTTGGACTCCGACTCCCTGGGAGATTAGCAATAGGGGGAGGTGGAGGAGGACCTTGTCTTGTGCTAACGGGTTCTCTCTTAATATCTCTTCTCATTACTGGTTCAATTTTCTTTGTTTCATCCACTTTATTTTCTTGAAAATCTGCCCTGTTTCTTCCAAAATTTCTATTTTCATAATTTTGGTTTGATCTCTGATTTTGTCCAGGGGGAGGACCAAATCTATCCAGAGCACTTCTAGGCTTGGCACCACTTTCAAGATTATCTTGCTGATCCTTGCCCAGCAACTTTTTCTCAGAGCCTGGGGATGATGCCAAAGTTCCACTTCTCAGTGAGTTATTTTCATAGATAGTTTTGCTTGGCACCTCTTTCTTGTAATCAGGCACTGTTTCAGCTTCCTTATTTCGGTACTTCTTATAACAGCAAACACAGATAATAATAGTGACAACAATTACAACAATAATGCCAGCTACAATGCCAACAATCATTCCGATATTTCCAGAGCTTGCATCACCAGGAGCCACAGCAGCTTCAGCTGGTGACAAAAAGTGGAAGTTTTTTTTTACTATAACACAACAATAATGTTTACTTTCAGCTGATAGAAAAAGTGGAAGGCTTTTAACGTAACACAACAATACAGTTTTAGTTACTGGAAGCTAGCTATATCCCATTTACATAACATGTTTGTATACTTACATCTTAATGCAGTGACTCCAATTTGAAAACTGTAACTGACATCATCATATGTTTTTCTAGTCAAACGAATTGTCGCTTTACCGTTAATGTCTTTTATCTCAGGAATGCTGTCAAGATTTGACTGACAGCCAAGTGTCTTTTTCTGTAAAATTGGAATATAAAATGTTTATTCAAATAGCAAATTTTCTTTGACGAGCCGACCCGCTGCGTATCATACGCCGCTATTTAGTTGTTTTTTTTCTACTTTTCAGTAATTTATAATTTGTGAATTCGACAGTACCAATGCTGCCACTGAAAATATTTGCTTAAAAACACTAAACCCCCCTTTCCTCCCACCCCCACGTGAAAGCAGCCTCCTCTTAGTTACCTCCTCTAAGTTTAAAATCGTTTCAAACTAAATTATCTGCCCCTAATAGCCGTCACCAAACCCGTCTCTATGGTTGTAAAATGTAAACAGCGTGAACCACAGCTCACCAGACCATGTGAGGGGGTGGGGGGTGGTAGCGATAGAGAGGAAGAGAGGCGACTGTAAGGCACGCTTGCAGCTTGTTTTCTAACGGCTCACAGAAGAGAATTATATATATAGATAAGAAATAGGCTGTAATATAGTTCAAGCAAAGTAAGAAAATTTATAAATGAGGAATTAGGCTTCCCTGAAAGCAATGTATTAAAATACTCTTTTTCAACCTTCTCACAAAGGGTCGCCCATAAATGATGTCACACTCATAGGGGGGGGGGGGGGGGTTAGATGGTGTGACATCACACTTTTGCATTATAAAAAAGCAATGTTAGAAAAAGAATTTTAGCCATTATGTATTTTGCGTTTTAGAAAACTGTTTTAATAAATTGTAATAGGAATCTATATATATAATTATCTTCTTGGAGACGTTAGAAAACAAGCTGTAAGCGCGCCTAGCAGTCCCCTCTCTTCCTCTCTAGGCATATTGCAACCCCCCCCACCCCCACATGGTCTGGTGAGCTGTGGTTCACGTTAAATGTTTACAATCGTAGAGCCGGGTTTAGTGACGCCTATTAGGGGCAGATAATTTAGTTTGAAACTATTTTAAACTTAGGGGAGGTAACTAAGAGGAGGCTGCTTTCACAGAGGTGGGGGTGTAGGGTAGGGGTTGGGGGAAGGGAGGGTGGGAAGGTATTGTCCTTAACGGCCTACTGATAGTGTTTTAAGGCAAATATTTTCAGTGGCAGCGTTGATACTGTCGAATTCACACATAATGAATGACTGAAAAGTAGAAAATAAAGCAACTAAATAGCGCCGTATGATACCCCGTGGGTCGGCTCGTTGATTAAAATACTCTATGTTGACAGAGTTCAGACAAGATTTTAGAAAAATATCGATGTTTAAAAAAAAATTCAACTGCAATTTTGAGGGGGGGGGGGGGGGGGGGGGGGGAAATGTAGGCTGAGGTGTGATGTCATTTTAGGGGGGTCTGGCTTTTTGTGACAACATGTGACGGAGGGGAGGGGGCAGTAAAAATTGTCCAAAAAAAGCGTGACGTCATTTATGGATGGCCCCCAAGTTTTTCCATTTGATCAGATTCCATTTTGTTGTTGAAGCAAAAAGGTTTGTTTGAAAACTTAACTCTTTTATAGATTTTAGAAAGGCTTAAATTTAATAGAAAGTGAGCTGCCTCAAAAGCCAGCCATAATTAGGCCTTAGGTATTGTGAGGGATAACTTGTCATATTTTACACACAAGCAAATTGTCTGATCTGTTTCAAGCTCCACATTTTAGCTGCACAGGCCAGAGTGCAGATAACCCAGTGTGCAAAACACAATTTTTATAACAAATTTTAATAGAAAAAATATATTAAAATAACTAGATTTAAATTGACAAGTGTTTCAAGAACAAATTCAATAGGATTGTCTTGCCTTAAAAACATTTTCAAAATGGTTTAATAATTGGGATTCTAAGTAAAACACATTATGATATAATGACTATATCAAGAAACACCTATATCCCAAGCAACAATTCAGACTTAGCTTTTTGTTCTATAAACACCTCAGCAAAAGGGAACAAATTCTCCTATTAAGCTAACCAATGTTTAAATAAACACAGGATTAAACAACATATTCTAGCCAAGGTCAACTAAAATTAGAAATAATCATTAGAAAGTATATGTATAAAAGTAAATTAAAACTTCAGAAGAAAACCAAACAAGCTGTTTTTTAACCTTTATATGATTAATGCTTTTGTCAAAGTGAGCAATAAAAACAGACCAATACTTTTTTAAACTCATCTTAAACAATGAATTTTAAAACAAAGGATCTAATGCAGTAGTGGCTTTTTTCAGAGTACTGTATTTCTTTTAAAGTAGCTTATAAAAATAATATTTAGAAATATGCAATTCTAAATGTGCTTTTCTAATTGAATTTTTGCAGAAGCAACTATATACGAGTGTTGCCTGAAAGTTAAGAAGGTAGAGTGTGTTTGATAACATTCTACTGCTAAGATTTGTGTCACATATTGCACTTACATCATTGTTTGACATCTGAATCTCAAGAATGACATCACAATCTTGAATGTATGATCCAGATACTATCCACAATTTGAGTGTATCCCCTTCAGTTTGGGGACTGAACTGGAGATAACATGTTAGCTGGGACTGAGAAGACTGTGAAGATCTTCCTCGAACATAAGTAGTTTGGTCTCTTGGCATGTCTATGAAGCCAGTGTTGATACAGTCTGATCTCTGATCCATTACATCTGTTTGATTAAAAACATGATCTATAGACTTCCTGCTATAAGCCTCGTTAGTCAAACACTAAAATATTTTTTTGAGAACAAGGTAGTTACAACCAAGTCACAAAATACTTTTTAAACATTTACTACAATATGTAAAAACTTAAATTACATTAATATTTAAAGAATCAATTAATTTTTGAGAAACCAGGATTTGTGGTTTCAGTGTTGCACCAAAGTTTTTCTTCTCTGCATATCAAACATGTCTTGCTCATTAAGTTCAAGAGTCGATTTCCAAATCAAGAAAAATTTACTTACATTACACCAAAAATACTTCAATTTTTAAAATTATATATATGAATAAAAAAAAAAGACCAAATATTTGCTAAAACAAAATCTTACATTGTTTTGAAGCAGTAATTGCAGCTTCTGTTGCAGTAAATGACAATGAAAACAAAATCAATTGAAAAAGAAGCATTTTCATCTCATAGCTTTTTGATGCTCCTTGTACCAGCCATTTCCCTAAAAAGCATCAAACTGTCTTGAAATTATTTCTTTTTGTCTCTGTTAATAAAGCTATGAATAAAACAGAAAAAGTAATATTTAGAAACAAATGTCATGTTTAAAAAAAAAAACAAAGCACAGGCATAGAAAACAAAACATATAAGCTCTAAAATACTTGGGGTCCATTTGGGACAAAAAGGTGAAACCATCAACAGAGGGGACACCACCCAAAAAGGTGAAACCATCAACAGAGGGGACACCACCCAAAAAGGTGAAACCATCAACAGAGGGGACACCACCCAAAAAGGTGAAACCATCAACAGAGGGGACACCACCCAAAAAGGTGAAACCATCAACAGAGGGGACACCACCCAAAAAGGTGAAACCATCAACAGAGGGGACACCACCCAAAAAGGTGAAACCATCAACAGAGGGGACACCACCCAAAAAGGTGAAACCATCAACAGAGGGGACACCACCCAAAAAGGTGAAACCATCAACAGAGGGGACACCACCCAAAAAGGTGAAACCATCAACAGAGGGGACACCACCCAAAAAGGTGAAACCATCAACAGAGGGGACACCACCCAAAAAGGTCAAACCATCACCTGCAAGGGGAACCACTATATTCAGCGTTAAAACTTCAACAGGTGCAACCGTCAGTGCCCTGTATATTGACAACCCAAAGCGTCCCGGGCTCCCCTGCGAGCACTTAGGCGGCTAAATTTGTTTTAAAAAAGGCTAAACACTAAAGACATGATGGTTTATAACATGTCAAATAATTTTTTTCGTATTAAAGAAAAAATCCTGTTGATTTGTGTCATTTTAGTGAATGACGCAATCTGCATAATTGTTTCAGGATGCTATTTGGCACTCTGGGTTATCCTGTGAGCACTATGGTGCCTGTTATTTTTAAGGAGCCAGGGGCCGTATGCGGCACCTCTGTGGTAGTGTAATCGGGGGCTGCCTCTACCTCATTATTTCTGTGAGTGATAAATGTGCACCCAAGGTTTTCATATGGTAGTGTAGGTAAAACCATGTCCTGATATTTATGATCCAAGCACAGGCATTGTTTACATTTAAATTTAAACCCAGAGTTTCTTCCAGGCATCTCTTCGGGGGGGGGGGGGGGGGGGGGGGGGGGGGGCAAAGCCCACCAAAAATTTTTTACCACCCCCCCGAACGAAATGAAATTTATATAATTTATATAGAAAATATATACTTTTAACAGTGTCCACCCCCCGAAGAAAGTCTACCGCCCCCCCCCCCCCCCGAAAATTTCAAGTGCCCCCCCCCCCCGGAGAAAAAAGTCTGGAAGAAACACTGTTTAAACCTAGTTTTAGAAAAAAAATATCACATATCTAAGAATACAGGATTGGTAACGCATTTATGAATCGCTTCTTATATATTTTGCCAGACTTTCTTCCCCCAAGGCAACAGCCACCCTATGAGACGATCCTGGCTATGCAACTTGCCACTCACTATTATTGCTGCCACTCATGATTTACCAATTCTAGCTACTATCTAGATCTAGACCCTAGATTTAACATCCATTCTTAAATCTTTTTTTTATTTTGGTTGTCAGTTTCAGTGATAGTTCGACAGTAGACTTCATTAATTAAAACAATGTAATAAATCTAGGGCCTAAAGAAAGAAATATTATTACAATTAGTGATTAGGCCTATAGACATAGAGTCATAGACCTAGTCTTGAGAAAGTCTCTTCTTTTTCAGGTTGTATTTTCTTAGATCTAGTAATGTAATACTAGTAGTAAAGGTATTAGTAGTGTAATACTATATAATAAAGGAAAATAATAATAATACTTTTAATTTATAGGCCCCTAAAATAGTGCCCTAACCTAAAGTAATAGGTTGAATTATTAAAATTTTAAGTTAGGCCCTAAGTCTTCACAAAATTATAATTTGAATTAAATAAACAAGCTATATACATTAAGGTTTCATTATGCAAACATTTTACAATACCTTATACAAATCCAATGACCTGAATCCATGCAATCGTATTTCAGACGAATCATTTCCGCATTGCTTGGATTAGTTTGAAGACGCCATGTTGTCACCTGTCCCAGATCTGTCAACTAGGGCACCCTTGTGGACACACCTGAGATCTACAAAGTAGTCGATAAAATATGCGAATAGGCTTATACTTATATTAGAAACAATGTAGATCTAGATCTAGTATTTGTTGGCTTAGTTATTAGTAGAGGCTGAAAAAGTTTGAGGACCCCACCAATATATATGCTTATGCCTATAATTATGATGAACGGAAAGAATAAAAATAAAAAAGTTAGGCCTACAGTTTTTGCTGGAAATTATATCGTAGTAAAAAGGTCACAGAAATTATTAATGAATTAAGTAACAAAAAAAAGTCACAAAACTATTCTTAGATAGTTCTATACAATATTTTTATCTACTTTTTGAGAATTGCAAAATTTTTGGTGTTTATAACTGTTTTTTTTTTAACATTTAGGGGCCCACAGTCGACCATAATAATTTTTTTATAGTTAAAAAAAATAAATTTCTTGCATTTTAGACTTGATGGTTGTTTTGTAAAAAGATTACCGTAGATCCAATTTGATTATTTTTTTTTTATAGACACCACCCCACGCTCGTGTATATTCTTTTTCCCTTTGTTTTTAAACCACTCTGAAAGCGGAGTCCTCTTTCTCCTACCATAAAACTTATCAAAGATAAGCAAACGTTCAAACCACTACCCTGACTTATTTCCCCTTTTTCAAATAGTCAAATAGGGGTGCTCCTAAGCTCCTTTTAATAGATTTTGTACAAAACAAATTAAAAATCAATCACTTCTCTTAATTATTTTTTTATAAAGTACTTACTAAAGAATGACATTGTACAAAAAGGAAATGTATTTAAAATTAATAATAATAAAAAAAAACAAACAACAACATAAGAATAAACGTAATACGAGACACCATTACTTATACAAAGCTTTCATGTTTTATATTCTTTTGACCGACTAAAGGTTATGAGGGTTTGTAGAAAAGATAAAATATAAATGATTTTCACAAAAAAAAACCCCACACTAATGCACTTACACACATGACATGATGTAGTAATTTGTTTTAATTGAAAAAAAAACAATATTTTAAAAAAAAAACTTGAACAGGCCAGCAATGAGTATCCTATGTTCGTATTTTGTGTTTGTATATATATATATATATATATATATATATATATATATATATATATATATATATATATATATATATATATATATATATATATATATATATATATATATATATATATATATATATATATATATATATATATATACGAGCCGACCCGCGGCATATCATACGCCGCTATTTAGTTGTTTTATTTTATACTTTTCAGTAATTTATAATTTGTGAATTCGACAGTACCAATGCTGCCACTGAAAATATTTGCTTTAAAACACTAACATCCCCCTCCCCCTTCCTTCCCTCCCCCCTCCTCCCCCCCCCCTACGTTTAAAATCGTTGGCTCTGCTTGTAAACATTTAGAGTGAACACAGCTCACTAAAACCATGTAGGGGTGGGGAGGTAGGGAGAGCGTTTGCAGCTTGTTTTCTAACGGCTCGAAGAAGAGAATTATATATATACGAGCCGGCCCGCGGCATAACATACGCCGCTATTTAGTTGTTTCTAATTTTCAATAATTCATAATTTGTGAATTCGACAGTACCAACGCTGACACTGAAAATATTTCTTTAAAACACTATAAGTAGCTCGTTAAGGACCATAACCCCCCCCCCCCCTTCCTTCCCTCCCCCCTCCTCCCCCCCTACGTTTAAAATCGTTGGCTCTGCTTGTAAACATTTAGAGTGAACACAGCTCACTAAAACCATGTAGGGGTGGGGAGGTAGGGAGAGCGTTTGCAGCTTGTTTTCTAACGGCTCGAAGAAGAGAATTATATATATACGAGCCGGCCCGCGGCATAACATACGCCGCTATTTAGTTGTTTCTAATTTTCAATAATTCATAATTTGTGAATTCGACAGTACCAACGCTGACACTGAAAATATTTCTTTAAAACACTATAAGTAGCTCGTTAAGGACCATAACCCCCCCCCCCCTTCCTTCCCTCCCCCCCCTCCTCCCCCCCCCCCCCTACGTTTAAAATCGTTGGCTCTGCTTGTAAACATTTAGAGTGAACACAGCTCACTAAAACCATGTAGGGGTGGGGAGGTAGGGAGAGCGTTTGCAGCTTGTTTTCTAACGGCTCGAAGAAGAGAATTATATATATACGAGCCGGCCCGCGGCATAACATACGCCGCTATTTAGTTGTTTCTAATTTTCAATAATTCATAATTTGTGAATTCGACAGTACCAACGCTGACACTGAAAATATTTCTTTAAAACACTATAAGTAGCTCGTTAAGGACCATAACCCCCCCCCCCCCCTTCCTTCCCTCCCCCTACGTTTAAAATCGTTGGCTCTGCTTGTAAACATTTAGAGTGAACACAGCTCACTAAAACCATGTAGGGGTGGGGAGGTAGGGAGAGCGTTTGCAGCTTGTTTTCTAACGGCTCGAAGAAGAGAATTATATATATACGAGCCGGCCCGCGGCATAACATACGCCGCTATTTAGTTGTTTCTAATTTTCAATAATTCATAATTTGTGAATTCGACAGTACCAACGCTGACACTGAAAATATTTCTTTAAAACACTATAAGTAGCTCGTTAAGGACCATAACCCCCCCCTTCCTTCCCCCCCCCCCTACGTTTAAAATCGTTGGCTCTGCTTGTAAACATTTAGAGTGAACACAGCTCACTAAAACCATGTAGGGGTGGGGAGGTAGGGAGAGCGTTTGCAGCTTGTTTTCTAACGGCTCGAAGAGGAGAATTATATATATATATATATATATATATATATATATATATATATATATATATATATATATATATATATATATATATATATATATATATATATATATATATATATATATATATGGGGGGGCTAAAAAAAAATTGTTCCGCCACTGATCATGGTGTTTGTGTGTTTTAGCCGTAGGCCTTCCTGCTGTCGGCCTTGTCCTTCCATATTGTTGATGATTGCGTCAATGACAGCCTTCATACGCCTGTATCGGCTTTTTTGTGTCGATCATATGATTTTTGTGATGAGCTAGTGGCGGGTACTTTCAGGTAAGCTGCAGGGAAATCGTTCTTGTCAAAGTTTGCTGTCCACTCTCTTTTTCACGGGAAAATTAGAGTCATCTCAATAATCGAGTTTAAAGTGACCAAAAACTGACCTATAACCCAATCTTACCTATATAAAAGGATATAGCTGCGTCTGAAATCTAGTATTTTAATTTCTCCAGTTCTTTGATTACACACAAAAATAAACAATTATAACACGTGGATAAAGGAAATTGTTTTTTTATTCTAAACAATTTTCAAATAGGTATAAAAAACTAAACCATATCCTAATATTTGAGAAGGCCACTTGCAAAGTCCACTTTTTGAAGAAGAAAAAAGTTTGCCTATAGCCTTCTTAAAATGTGGCAGCTTAATTAAGTAGTATACTTATTTTTGCCCAGAAAGAAATAGCTATAATTTATCTTTATTGCAAGTTTTAAGATTTTAAAATTATAACACCAGTCATCAAAACGATGGCATTCAATCCACATTTTAATAAAAATCCATATGTTGTTGTATTAGATTTGGTCGTGGTTTGGTTGTGAGGCTTAAGGCGATGTTACGTAACGTTACAGGAGTTTGAGGTGCTTAAAAGGGATCTTGACACCTGGCTACTACCCTAGATTTTGATATATCAATGGGGTTGTTGGAAAAATAAGTAACAAGCGGTTTTTGTGTAATGGTTTGACTATGGTGGTAAGTATATATTTGTGTAACAAAACATGTGCTGGTCATGTCCACACATGATGGGCTGGTCATGTCCTCACATGGTGGGCTGGTCATGTCCTCACATGGTGGGCTGGTCATGTCCTCTTATGGTGGGCTGGTCATGTCCTCTTATGGTGGGCTGGTCATGTCCTCACATGGTGGGCTGGTCATGTCCTCTGGTCATGTCCTCACATGGTGGGCTGGTCATGTCCTCACATGGTGGGCTGGTCATGTCCTCACTTGGTGGGCTGGTCATGTCCTCACATGGTGGGCTGGTCATGTCCTCACATGGTGGGCCGGTCATGTCCTCACATGGTGGGCTGGTCATGTCCTCACATGGTGGGCTGGTCATGTCCTCTGGTCATGTCCTCACATGGTGGGCTGGTCATGTCCTCACATGGTGGGCTGGTCATGTCCTCACTTGGTGGGCTGGTCATGTCCTCACATGGTGGGCTGGTCATGTCCTCACATGGTGGGCTGGTCATGTCCTCACATGGTGGGCCGGTCATGTCCTCTGGTCATGTCCTCACATGGTGGGCTGGTCATGTCCTCACATGGTGGGCTGGTCATGTCCTCACATGGTGGGCTGGTCATGTCCTCTGGTCATGTCCTCACATGGTGGGCTGGTCATGTCCTCACATGGTGGGCTGGTCATGTCCTCACATGGTGGGCTGGTCATGTCCTCACATGGTGGGCTGGTCATGTCCTCACATGGTGGGCTGGTCATGTCCTCACATGGTGGGCTGGTCATGTCCTCACATGGTGGGCTGGTCATGTCCTCTGGTCATGTCCTCACATGGTGGGCTGGTCATGTCCTCACATGGTGGGCCGGTCATGTCCTCACATGGTGGGCTGGTCATGTCCTCTGGTCATGTCCTCACATGGTGGGCTGGTCATGTCCTCACATGGTGGGCTGGTCATGTCCTCTTATGGTGGGCTGGTCATGTCCTCACATGGTGGGCTGGTCATGTCCTCACATGGTGGGCTGGTCATGTCCTCACATGGTGGGCTGGTCATGTCCTCACATAGTGGGCTGGTCATGTCTTCATATGGTGGGCTGGTCATGTCCTCACATGGTGGGCTGGTCATGTCCTCACATGGTGGGCTGGTCATGTCCTCACATGGTGGGCTGATCATGTCCTCACATGGTGGGCTGGTCATGTCCTCACATGGTGGGCTGGTCATGTCCTCACATGGTGGGCTGGTCATGTCCTCACATGGTGGGCTGGTCATGTCCTCACTT